TGTATTAATATCTTATTAGGAAAATAGTTTTTGGAAATCAACAAATTAATACTGATAACACAAGAATGCATTACAATAATCTACTCTTTCAATATGTATAATGTTGTGTTTTCTTTACATAAAGCAAATTAAAAACTCCTTTGCCCTCTTTACTCTCACATACACAAACAAACTCCACGTACATCTCTTAAGTTGAAACATTGATAATTATATAGAACCGTGCTTCAGGGTCTTACCTGCTGGTAGACTGCAATTAGTACCCTGTCTAACATATACAAAGCTACAGAATGGTTCTGTATGTTATAATGTTTATATAATGGCTTCTGGGAAGTTCATCTCTTCATACAACTTACATACGAATGCAATATTTTATGACACATCTTGCAATATGCATTTTATTCCTAGAAGACGTCGATACTCGCGTTAAATGGTATATGCTTTTACTTTATTCTCAGATGTTGGTGTTGAAAATAATGTCGAAAGGCAATACTAGTAAAGTTTAAAGTTAATAAACAACAACTATTGTTGTACTAGTCCGTATTATTGTTGTGAACACAATTCCAGAGTTACTTCCAAAGTTCAATGACCTCATAAAATAAATTTGCTTTTTACCAACAAGAAAATTCGTACATAATCCAACGAAACACGTGTCTTCAAAAATACGACAGCATAAGCAGGGTTAATAGGCTTAGCGCCGCGACGAGTGTGAATGTTTCTTTACATTTTTACTACTTTTTGTTTCTTTTTGGAAAAAATCATCGCGTGGATATATACCATCTGTCTAGTCGATCTTTAGTCTTTGCTTCACTGAATTTGAAGATGTCGTGGTGTACCAAAACGAAATTGTTTTTCGTCTTAACTTTGAGTTGGGTTGCAGCACAGGAGTATATTGAAAGTAAGTAGCTAAATATTACGTAATGAGCGTTATCATTAACATCAATCAACAGCCTATAAGCGACCACTGCTGACCAAAGGCCTCTTCTCAACGATACCACTTTGACAAAGATTATGTTTGACCAAATTAAATATAACATAACATAACATCACGCATTTTATCCCCGAAGGGGTAGACAGAGGTGAACATTATGCCACTATACAATGTAACACCCACTTTTCACTATTTATGTTATGAGTCCCATGTAATAGGGAGTGAGCCTATTGCCATATACCGGACACAATTCCAGATTCCGTGCTACTATTGTGAATTTCTTGAAACTCTTTAGAATCAAATTAATCTCTTTAGAAAAACGAACAAAGGTTACTTACAGAGTTTATTGACATTTTGCACCTATTATTATGTAATCAGAACAACTGGTATGCTAGTATTTTTTTTATTCATAAATCACTAAGAATTTCAGCTTTGATGTTAATTTGTATTATAACCTTCGTGGGACACAATAAATTAATTATTATCATTTTTGGCTTACACACATTACTGTTCGACGAGGAACTCGACGTGTTTCAAGCCGTACTAGAGGCATTTGTGAGCAGCGTTGCGACTGTCGTAACTGATTGTTACATCATAACTGCTGTAACATAATAAAAGTTTACTTTGATTATTTTTTTTTCTGTTTATTTTTTTTTAAACGTTGCCCCACATTAGAATTTTCTCCTATGTCGTGGGTGAAGAAGATTTTGGTGAAGCCGTGATTATTTCGAAATCTTAAACTATTTAATTCATGGTCATGTCGTTTGATTTTCTAGCAGATAAATGCAGTTCCAAGTAGCAAAACAAGTTATGAATGAAAAAATCCACAAAAATAATTCATTTCCTTTGGAATGTCGGCGCCCTCATTTTAAAACGTGGTTCATTTACAGATAACAATATTTCTGTCCATTTTTTTTAGATTTTGGTAATGGTGTGATTTCAAGGTATGCAGAAAATAAGAAAGAAAGACTATCTGTTTATTCACGCCGCGTTGTATTATGTTATGGTGTATATGTGTGAAGAAAGAAATTATGTCGTAAATTAAGAAAACTATTGTTTGTTTGTAATCTATCATTTTTGATATAAATAAATATTTAAGACAATAATATGATAACAATACTTCTTATATCAAAAAATATATTAATCAAAGACTGCCTCATTGGCCGAGTGGTCGCAAGTGCGACTGCCGGGCAAGGGGTCTCGGGTTCGATTCCCGGGTCGGGCAAAGTATTACTATGTTTTTAAAAAAAAATCAGTAGTAGCATGGAGTCTGGAATTGTGCCCGGTATATGGCAATTGGCTCACCCCCTATTACATGGGACTCATAACATAAATAGTGAAAAGTGGGTGTTACATTGTACAGCGGCATAATGTGCACCTCTGCCTACCCCTTCGAGGATAAAAGGCGTGATGTTATGTTATTTTATTAATCAAAGAAAACATTAATTTTCAGATCTGCATGACTCAAAAGTTGGCACGCATTTGAAAGAATTACCAAAATCATTTGAAGTGAAAGGTTTCGATGCAAACACGCAGTTCCAGAAATATTTCGATCAGATACAAGATTTCGCAATGCAAAGAAACCTAAATGTAATATACAAAATTAAGCTAGATGTGGACAAACCAACGAAGTATCACACGAAGAAGACGTTAGTCAAGAAAGGCAGGTCAAAGAAGTACAATATTCCTCTGAAGAAGACGAGTATGAAGCTATCGAACTTCGAGATGTGGCTGAGAAAAATGGCAGAGCAATCAGGCGCGAACAAGAAAGGGACTCAGCAGAATTTTGAAAACTATCCCGCAGTCACAACAGAAGGAGAAAAGATAATAACGACGACGAAACAAATACAGCTTAAATACAAACCGATTATTTCTAAGATGAAGAGTAATTACACGAAAATTGTGAAACCCGTTAGGAGCAGAACTATTACTCTCATACAGTAGGTTATTTGTTATTTTATATTGAGCAATTCAGCTACACCTGTAGGTTTTTTACGAGTATAAATTATTTTTCATTTATTTGTTTGTAATTTATTGAAATGTATTCCAATTTTATAATTGTAATAAAATTATTACACACATGTTACTAATTTTATTACCTATCGATGCAAATTTATGTATGACCAGAATCAAAGTATTCGTAACTCTTTCGGTGTGGACAGCACTGACTGCTTACATCTCTTCTCACTAATCTTCCTGTTCATTGGAAACGACACTATGCTATTAGTACGAAACAATAAAATACGCAAAAGTAAATATTAATATTAAATATTATATTCATTATTTTCAACAAAACAAATCGACCTCAAAGCATTTGACATCAGCAAAATAATGTTTTAACACAATGCAAATATTTTGTTCTAAAATCGTGACAAAATTACTGAAAGATTCCATTACATACGAAAATCATTAAGGAACATTTGACGCGCAATATGCTCTAGTGTTGTATATTTTGGTGCAGCATTTCCATACAATAGAGCATCCATATTGGTCGGTCCAGGTGTCCATGGGCAACGCTGATTGCTTACCATCAGGTGATCCGTCTGCCCGTTTACGGTATATGCCATAAAAAGTGGCATTGATACTAGCCATGCATTGGTAGATTTCGAAACCGCAACGTCGTGCATAAGAAGCGGGCATCATAAACGTCCGAGCCACCATAACATTCGTGGCAAAACACCTAGTGGATGCGAAGCTTTATTTGCCACAATTTCTGGTCCAGTTGCGGTCAAACTATAAAAATCTTGCAATATGCATCTGTATGGCAAATTCTTCTCACGGTTAGCAATAAAAACTGTGTGCTCTATCAGTTTTGTTTCTCTCACCAGGGGCAGCGCTTATGAAACATATTTCAGCCAAATTGCTGTACATGAAACCCGGAAAATATTTGGAGATGATAAATTTTATAAATTTCTTGCTTTTCCTTCGTGTTTTCATGTCTGTCGGTATTATCTTTGAAGAAAGTTTTATTTGTTTTGTAAATTCGTGGTCATTTCCTGCAAAATAGGTACTTAAAAGTTTTTGTAATATACAGTTGTACAAACTGTATATTTCGAATTATCCTTAACCTTTTCATTGTTGGCAAAAAAGATTGTCTGACAGCGGCAAAATATTTTTTAGGACTGAATCTTATTGAAATTTGGCACGTAAGTCTGGAAGAATAAAAGCCAATTTCCAGCAAAAAATTACAATAAAACCCCTACAATATTTAAAACCAATCCCCGCACATCAATATTAGCGCACATAGAATCCGTAAATTCCAATCCTCTTTCTAAATCCTCAATAAAAATTTGTTGAGGGAGAAATCCTTTTATACCTTCGAGGTCGAAACCTCTTTCTATTCTGCTCACACGCTGTTTCACATTCCGCGGTGTCGTGCCACCGAAAGCTACATAAAGCCTTAGAGGCCTACATAACCCTGCACAAAATTAAATATCGTTCTAGCTCTATGTTCTACAGAGTTCTGTTTGTTTCTATAATGTCTTCTATTTCCATTGTTTTAAGGTTTCATTTTAAATATATGTTTGTAGACTTGTATTTTATCATTTTAAAATAGTTGGTTTTTTAAGATAAGGTTGTTGGTTTTCATTATTTTGGTTAGGTTTGAGTTTTCTGGTGTCAGCGATAGTCACAGTTTTTTTGTCTAGTTATGTGACCATTGACCTATGGTCTTCTAGAATAGACGTGATAAATTTGCCTCTGCCTGTTTGAAAATAAAGTAAGCAAGTGTTAAACTGAAAGAAAGAAGCAAGTGTTAAACTGAAAGAAAGAAAGCAAGAAGAAAGAAAAATAATTTATTCGCCACCAGACATGGACCACCGAAAATTAACACACAAAATAAACATTGAAAAACAAAAATAAAAAAGAAAACAGTATAAAAACATAAAATAATAAAAAAACAACAATGAAGGCAAAAAAAAACATTATAAAAAAGCAAAATAAAAGAAACAGGGTGGCAGCATGTCCACGACGAAAGGGCCCGCCAACTCAGTGTATGCTGGGCACAGTAAGTACCCAACATTGGTTTTCAGTTGGCAACCCTGCAGTGAGTTGATTAAATTCATGTTGAAGTCGAAGTCAAAATCAATGTTAATCATTGCATTGATAATTACCTCTATAGATTCCAGTACAATTAGTTTATACACCATGTCTAGCATAAAAACCATTTCTACAACAAGGCTTTTTATACAAAAAAGACGAAATCCTTAGACGTAGTAGAAAACAGAAAAAGATTAAGTTTTTCTTCGATAAAAATTCTTTGTTTTAACAAGGGAAGGATAAAAAATGATCCTTAAAATTAATAATGTTAAAAACACTGCCGCGGAAAAACGTAACGACGAAAAAATTTCAGCTGTATCGAATTCCCAATTTGCGAATTGATCATTTAATTTTAAGAGGGAGGGTTCCTATAATCTATTGGGAGACTTGGGATAGTGAAAATTTACGTTGACTTCCAAATTATATTCGAATTTAAGGATACGAATATTTTCAGCTCGCTGATAATGACATTGATTGAGTGGTTATTACGGATATCTATTATTCTTGAATTAAAATAATACTTTGTCTGATAATTCCAAAAAATCTTGTTTAAGCCCAATTTGGAGGGAGATAAACAAGGCCAGAAGGCCTGGCTATAAACTGTATCAAATTAAACTACCTACTTGATAATCGAAAGAAACCAAAAGAATAATAATGACATGAATTACATTATTACTTCATTGTTAGACACATACCAAACCCAAAGAGTAGACGCATACAAAATTATATTATTACAATATTGGTAGTCAATGTCTTTATTTTAATAGAAGCAACAATATAACCTCCAATTTGAAGTAGCTGACCAGTACCTATAGACTGTTGACCCTATGACGCAAATGAACATAACATCACGCCTTTTATCCCTGAAGGGGTTGGCAGAGGTGCACACAGAAGTAACACCCACTTTTAATTATTTATGTTATTAGTCCCATGTAGTAGGGGGTGAGCCTATTGCCATATACAGGGCACATTTCCAGACTCCGTGCTACTACTGAGATTTTTTTTAAAAAACCCAGTAACACTTTGCCCGACCCGGGAACCGAACTCGAGACCCCTTGCCCGGCAGTCGCACTAGCGTCGACCATCGAGGCAGTCAACGCAAATGAAATGAAAAATAAAAGAATGTAAGGTGAATGGATGGTCTGGTCCAAGTGTTCCCCTTTGAAATTAGATCTCTGACTGTTGTGCAGAGCAGAGCTTAGAGCGATCCGTCGCGATAGCCCCGACACATACCTTGAGCGTGTGCTAGTGATGGACGGCTAACGATAAATCGAGAGTTCTAAGTCCAGGTCTAGTCAAGGTTTTTCACAATTTAATACATTGTTCTTATTTGGTCACAAATTCGATTCAGTAACCGACGACATTTTTTTTAAAAACTTTGCTCTACACTTACTTGAGCTTCTGTGATGTGGGTGTGTTACATACTCATGTAACTAGACCCGGAACAACAATTAGTGGATGGCAAAAATAATGGTTCTGTACAGAAATTCAACCAACAGCGATACATTGCGTGCATCTGCTGATCACCCCACCAATGCACCAACCATAATATTATGCAGTTGAATAAACAGTAAAATAGGTCAAATGTTTATCGACACTATCCCATCTCTAGCGATGCATGTCCTGACTGTCGTGAGTGTTGATAGTATCGCGGCGTTACTTGAAGCGATGAGACCGACTCGCGACTAATCTCAGCCCCTTACTGCGAACACGAGAACACTTTGTATACACGCAACTTACGGTTACATTGTAAATAAGTTGTGAATGTTGTAAAACGGAGTTTTTAATGATTGAACCTTGATTTGTTTTTTATAACCTAAAGAAAGTTAGTCTGAAGTCAGTTTTTTTAGTTACAATTATGATGCGTTTGCATTCGAGGTAGTAAATAAGCATTTAATACAAATTCGTAGCCTAGGTCTTTCTTAGTTTTATATATTCATACACATATCGTACTCAAACTCGAAACCGGACCAACACAGGAATCAACGCTGTAACGCGTTTATCGTCTCAATGGCTGAAAAAAGCCGAGTATCATTCAACAACTCGGGAATCAAATTAATATCCTACAGTTCTTTTTGATAAAAATACCAAATAAAAAAATATGAAAAGTTCATCGATATAACATAACAAAGATAATGAAAAAGGTAACTACCTAATTAAAAAGAAACCCTCCCGTCCTCCCGCGCCCCAATGGACTGTAAAGATATTTATTACTGCAGCAAGAATGCATTTTAATTTGTTTTACACCATCAACAGTATTAACTGCGAACGCTCGTACTCAATCTTCATAGAAATATATTTACGTTGATATTAAGCGAAGCTTTTCAAGTGTTCCTTGCAAAATGTTTGTTTGAATGTTTCAACATACTAATAATTGTAATATATGTTGCACTTCTAAATGAACAGGACTATGTTTTCGTTGAAATGGAAACGAGGGAAGCTTACCGAACTCAGTGGTGGGTTGTGAATGAATAATGAAGCTTACGGTTGTAGTAAGGGTCAGAATGTCTTAGTAAAAGGAGATGAGACTGCCAGTAAAGCTGTAGAAGTTACTACTATTGTACATTTGTAAGACAGGTGGTGTCAGTTGAAATGGTTCTGATTTTCCTTCGAGTTTATTTGAAGGTAAGGGGACCTACGATTTAGCTCTCTAGCCTTCACGAGATTTTGATGCTACCGTTAGTGTATATCCTACGATCACAAGGTACTAGATTTACTTTGGGACGCCGCTGAATTAGATTTTACCTGTCATTTGCTAATATCCCTACAGCCTAACCATGAAACTTGTAAAGCAGACAGGCGAAACAAGATTAAACCCGAATATCTAAGCGCCAAGTTGGTAAGCAAAGTGAACTGTAATCTCAACAATTAGTTGGCAAAACCTAGTTGGGCAATTGTCGCTTGAA